TAAGCTAGTCTTCCCTAGCTACTCACAATATCCAGGCCAAGTTAGTGCCTGTACAGGCAATTTTTGCTTAAAAGTGAAAAGGAAGACATCTTTATAGGTACTGGTGGACAAAAGAGGAAACTCAACTTTTACTTAGGAGTCTAGCCACTTGTTTTCTCCAAATCCTCACTTGAGACCCTGGGTCAGTTTGTACCCCTGTTCCAAGAGTGTTTCTAAATAAAAAGAATAGAGCTGACAGAACTCTGGGGATTTCACAAGACTGGAAAACCTGTTCCTTTTAAGTGGGGTTAATTTATGTGCTTCTATTCTTTCCTCTACTTTGGTTTATTTGAAATTGAGGTAGTCTTACTATTGCTACTACCCAAAAAATATTATTTGTAAGATGTCAGAATCCCACTGGCATGCATATATGTGTGTATGTGTGTGTGTGTGTGTGTGTGTGTGTGTGTGTGTTTGTGTGCATGGAAGATTTTACAACAGATGAAATTGGGGTCTTCCTTCTAACATGACGAGAGTGAATGTGAGAAACTAGAAGTGAGTTACAGATTAATGTTGGCAGCAGAGATTGTAAGCAAAGTCACCCTGGGAATATGAATTCTCACTGAGTGGGCCTAGGGACTGCAAGTATAGTGAACCCACCCCAGTGCTATCTAGCTCTGAAGAACAAAATGGGCAATAAGCAAATCCCAGCTGAACCTACCTGACAGAAGCGTATGAGGTGAGCTCAGGACGGCACACTCGATAAGTATCATGGAAATTACGGGTCTGACAGAATCTCTTGACAAAGGTGAAGGAATAAATTAACCTCATAAGCTACAGTTAGAGGTCAGGGGAAGTAAAAGCATAATTGTGTTTTGATTTGATCCTAAGTTCTTCTTGGATCTTAGACACCATGTGCATAATTCCTAGGTCTTGATTAAATAATCAGAGGTTAATTATCATTGGTTCAATTGGTCTAGTTTTAGTACAGGAAACAATATTTAGATAAATTGAAAATCAAGTTTCAGCTTTTCAGTCAGAAGAAATGACTTATCTCTATTTAATGAGTCAAAAATACAGCGTGACTTTCTTTTAAGACGAGAAAATTGCAAATCAGTAGGATATTGTCAAACAGTGTGTTCTTGTTTGCTTATGTATAATCAAGTTACTCCTGTACTTTATTACACCGGAGTTTATCTTGCCAGTTGCAAATACACATGAGAGGGTTTTTGTGCTTTTTGTTTGTTTTATCTCCCAAAGCCTTGCAGTAACAGCTTCTAGGGAAGATAGTGGCTCTAGATGCCTCTGTGATGTGATCTTCTCCTCCACGTAATTGATGGACTATTCTGAGATTAGACCCCCTCCTCCATGGCTCTCCTTGTCTATTTGGTGTCGATTTTGCTTTTATTCTGATTTCTGTCAATTATTATTTACAATAAAAAACAATACCAAATGTTTCTAATCTTTAAAATATTCTCCCAAGAGATAAGTTAGGGTGCTGGCTGAAGAGATTCTAATCGCTTCATTCTGATCTATTTTCTAAGTTTAACTCTTGTTGTGATTTTTGTATACACCTATTGTGGCTACTAACAGTATCCATCCTCTCAGATGTCTCTGACTTTGTCTTTCAGAGTTTCTATTCAAATAAACCTCACAAAGTTCATTTCTGATGTGTATAGTAGGCACAGTTGGTACCGTCCTGAGATTACCTACATGCTACTTGATCACCTTCAATTCAATACTTGATGAATTCAGTGGCTCTGGTGGGTATTTGCTCCTTATAGTTAACAGGCTAATCCTGATGGTCAACTTGATAGCATTAAGAAGCACCTAGCAACATAGTGAGTACAACTGGGATGTTATTTCCACAGCGGAGAAGGGAAAGACCCACCCATAGTTACAAGAAATTAGCACATATCTGCTGCCCTCTAAATAGTTACCTCAACCAGAAGTCATGCTCTGCTCTCTTCCCCAGTGCAGCCTGGGCAACAGATGACACACTGTATATAACGGGAGAATTGCTCTAAGAGACTGGCCGAACCGCCTCAAGGTCGGACCAACATTGTGCTTAAATAGAAGATGGACACCTTCTTGGATCATTTCCTTGTTTAGCTCCTATTGTTTTCCTCAACCCCTTTCTCCTGAAGTATTACCTCAGTGAACACCTGAAAATACTGTATCACAATGCACCCTGCTTCTATGGGGCCCCAGCGTAGAACCTTTAATTTGTTTTCTTCTTATATGTTCCCTGTAGCCAACTTTATGGCTTGAGCAAAAACCAGTATACAGAGTTTCTTCCTACTCAACAACTTTCAGGCTGAAAAGTACAATAAACTGCGTATTAGATTTTATCAGCTTTGGAGCTCCCGTCTGTCTCTGAGCTCAGCTGTGTTTTGGTTCATTTTAATTGCATTGAATTAGAAATTTCAAGACCATAAAAGTCTGAGACTAGACTAAGGTTTAAATGCCTTTTAATATCCACCAATTTCAATAGTTTTGTGAATAAAATAGAATCCTATAAACATGTTGAGCTTAGGGGTAGCAGACTTGGGTTATATAGTTCTTGCTTTAACTCTTTGAAACCTGTGCCTCCTCAGGAAAGCATATCAATGACTGTGAAAATCACAGTGATGCTCTGAGAGGAGACAACTTTATTCCATTCAAATTCATTAAAATAAGATCATGGAAGCATAATACTTAGATAGTTTTGGTGGTACTTGCTGTGTATACCTCATGAAATTATGGTGCTACACATAGTAAAGTTAATCTTTCTATGTGCCACAGGCAGAAATTTGTTATGAGAACTTACCTTTGGTGTACACACACACACACACACACACACACACACACACACACACTATAGTACAAACAACACTGGATTAAACAGTTCCATTATTTGAACATCCTCCCATATATTAGAGACAGGAATAGCATATTTTTAATCTTTTATCACAACTAGTATGCATTCAGAATATTATTTTTGAAAGAATGAAAATGTCTAGAAAATGTAGCAAGAAAGTATTCATACGGGCCTTTTGACTGTCAGTTTTTAATTTATTGCCTCTCAACTCTATACATAATATATTCTCTGTGATAAACAGGAGCGTTCCTCCAGAAATTTCTCCTTTGAAGAGGATATAAGGTTAAACTCTCTCAGAAAATGATCTGAATGTACTTAGCAGGAGGCAAAGGCTGCTGTGCAGACTGGTGTGGGTTTAGTACGTCTGATAGGGCTGCTGCTGCATCTACTGACTCCTAAGAAGAGAGTTATTCTATGATGTTGATGCTTAAGGTGAATGTAGTTTTCCCAGATCCCTCCACACATGAGAACTCTATGTGATGTCTGCTCTGCAAGCCTTCTGTTCTCATTACACATGCCATGCCTTCAGTTCACTCTGGATGTCTCTTCTTTTTTGCAGTCTCCAGATCCACAACTCCAGACTACCTCATGCTTCACTGCATAAATGAATTTTCATCCTACCTTGTGGTTAAAATGCACCTTTTCTGCAAGATTCAGTCACCTTCCAAGTTTGCCTTCTGTGGGTACAAACCCTCAGGTCTGGGATGCCACATAGAATTCCTGTATATCTGATTTCCTTATATTTCATTTATAAATAATACTTTATAAAAACATGATTTAGACTGTTACAATGTCTGTACTACAAATTTTCATCTGAAAGTTGTAATAAATCCCACACTTAACCTGGGGCATTAATGGTTTTGTGTGTGTGTAGCAAAATACATAGATGTCGAAAGAAAGTTATATAAAAGCATAATCAATCTTCTTCCTTCCTTCCTTCCTTCCTTCCTTCCTTCCTTCCTTCCTTCCTT